ATCCAGACCTTGTTATTGCAGGAAAAATCTTCAATGCACGACCCAAGTATTCCCTGAATGTTCAAGAACACCCACAAATTCTGTAAAAATAGCTGATAATGTATTTATTTGATTTAGTTATGAGCTTAGCTTGTGATTTTGGGGTGGGGGTGGGGCTGAAGTTGGTGATGCTGAAAAACCAATTTAGAGAAAAGCCCAAGCGAATCATCAGCTCTGGGGAGCAAGGGCGCTGCTTAAGCTCTTCCTCATGAGACGCAGAGCACTGCGGAGTCCACCAAGGGCTCGGAGACTTCTCGGGTGAGGAGGTCCCCAGCGGGGTGACCGTTTCTCCCTGGGGAGCTCTAGGCCTTCGGCCCCGCAGTCCACAGATGAGGCTGGTGTCCCATGGCCACGGCCAGCATGTGTTGGAGGCACAGGTTCATCTCTTCCTGCTTACACACCTGGGTTGACCAAGGGATTAGCTGTTGTGGTGAGCATTAGCTGCCCCTCAGCAGGTTTTCCTTCCCATCCCTGTTGGGCTGTGCTACTGGGTGACCCTCAGTCACTGGTGAACACGGCTATGGGACGTGTTCCTGTCCCTTAGGTGAGGGTCCGGATAGGCTGCCGTGTGCTCTGCCTCTGATGCACATCGCAGAACCAAACTTGCGATCTTTGCTGGTTTAGGTGGATAGAAAAAAGCCTTCCCTGTTATCAGAGTTCGCCACCACATTCGCTTCAAGCCTTTGAGCTATTTCTCTCCTCCTTCCTCCCTTCCAGTGCGTGCCTCTCCTCTCCAGCTGACAGCCTGGGACAGCCCCCCGAGATCAGCTGCTTGCGGAGCTCTCTCTGCCGAAAGCAGTCCTAAACGGTGTGGCCTTTGTTCCCCCCAGCTGTCGTATCCTCCGGGATCTGCAACAAGTCCTCGTTTTACAGACCCTGTCTTGTCAGTCCCCAATCTGATCTGACCACCTGGTTTGTTTTTGAATCAAGCACTTGAGTCATAACATTTCTGTTTATTGCAACAACTGTATTCCTTGCATAGGAAATGAGCCAAGATGGTCTAAGGCGGGGAGAGCGAAGCACGTCGTGGTTGTAATTGCTTTTGCTCTCCCAATATCAAATTTTACAGCATAATCAAAATCTTATTTTTGTACTACTGGACTCTGTTATTGACTTAATCTTCTTAAGTGCTCCTATTATTCCAGTGATTTCATCGTTGCATGTTGATTTTAATCTTTTGATCTCCATATTAGCTACTGCCTGCAACTAATTTGTTGCTCAGTGTTTTTCTTTGTTTTGACCTGTGAGGCATTTTCCTCATGGCACACAACTCTGCTGGCAGATTGCATATAATCTCTGCACTTTTTTTCTCCCATATTTTGCATAGTTACAACAAATGCAGATTTACAACTTGAAATGGAATATGCATCTTTTAGAAAGGCTGAGGAAAATATCACTTCAGGTTTAGCTCGAGCGCCTAAACGTGCTCACATAAAGGAAATACGGCTGAATACAGCTCACCGGAGAGAGGTGTCATGCAGGCTTTTTAGTCCAGCAAGTTCAGAATGGGTGGCAAGCGCAATAATTGTAAGTTATATTATATGCGGTCAGGGATCAAAGGGTTTCTGAGAGCATTGCTAGACCTAAGATGAAGGAGGCTGGTTTTTGTGAATGACTTAAGGGAGTCCCCTAGCTGGACTCGGCTCAGCGCAGCGGTGGCTCTGTTGAATCATGACACCACGGAGCAGGTTTTTGAGCAAACATTGGTGACGGCAGCGGTAGCGCAGAGTTGTGAACTTCACAGCCAAAGTGCAGAGGTTGAAATACGGCTCAGCTGCGGTTTGGTTTGGCCGTTAGATGAGTGCTTTTTCCCTTGGTAGTTGATGGTTTAACCTGTGCTGATTTATCGGGCGCTTTGTTTGCTTTAGCTTTTTCTTTTAAAGCTTAGAGAAGTAATTTTTTGCCTTAGGTTTGCTGTGACTTTTTTCAAAAGAACACAGCCTGAACGTTGACAAAATCATCTTTGCTTTGCTGCGTGCCTGTTTATGCTTCTGAACACAAGTTGTCTTCTAATATTTTTGACGTTTTGGTCACTAGAGAGGCAGAAAAGCAATTTCTAAGATGCCTATGGGCCAAGAGACATGCATTACAGCAGAGGGGAAAGAATCTGTTAGTTGCTGAAATATAAAACAAATTGGATGAACAGCTGCTGACACTTGTCAGTCAAATAGTTGATAGCATTTTCAGTCTCCATGCCACATGCTTTAAGTAAGTCTGTCAAAAAAAGGATATTTTCGCTGGACTTCCCTGTAAATATGAGAGAAGTTTTGGCCTGATCTAGCATTTAAAATTTTGCTGGCAGAAGAATGAAATTTTCCTCTTTCCCCAAAACTGATTGACATAACTGTACTGGCAGATTCTTCATCTAGGTGCAGTTGTACTGGCAGAAAGTCCTTTGACTGTTGGAGCTCGTTCCATCGCAGCAATGGGTTGAAGCAAAACCAGCAGCGGACCTTTGCATTCCTCGGCTGGGTTTGCCGGAGTGCTCCCACCCATCAGCGAGCCCTTTTGGACGCTGCCCGAGGTGTAGCTGTGCTCTGTGGTAGCCTGAATCCTGTCCAAAGTGTAGTCGGTGGCCAGGAGGGCTTTAAACCAGATCGATGTTTTTCAGACAAAACCAAACCATTTTGGATTCAACATTTCTGCAGGATTAACCCAAGCTGGCACTTCTCGCTCCTGGCACCGTGGTGCAGCACCCATATAGGAGAGGGTTGGGCTGCCAGCACCCACTTAACCGTTTGCAGGGTTAAAGGCAGTGGGGATCAGGGTGCGACACGCTCCTTTGCTTCACCACAGGCTGCAGGCTCTGGAGTGGGACGTTAAATCCTGCTTTGCAGCATTGCTTACACACGAGCTCTTCTCCCTAGTACTAATGTATGAAACTTGAAGCTCATCATTTGGGTCCAGACTCCTTAAAAGAAGGAAGCTGGCTGATGCTTCCTTGTTTTGAATGTGTGGTCAAGCCTCAGGGTTGTTACGGAGTCTCTGGGGTGCTTTATTGGGCTTTGAGGACACAGGAAAAGCTGTCACAAGCTGTAGGGTCATTGGTAATGACGGGCAAACTGAGACAAGGGTGCCCATCACTGCCGTTTCAGGGAGGCACCTATGTGTGTTAATGATGCACAGCCAAGGATCATCTCCTGAAGGCTACGCCCACAAAAAAACTGAGCAGGGCTTACTATTTTGGAAGGTGGCAGGTGGAAGTGGGCTGTGTTTTCACCCAATAAATATTTCATTTTAAAAAAAAGGGGGAGGGGGAGCCAGTTCCAGAGCAGAATCAAACTATTTCTCCATCTCTTCTCTGCCTGACTGGGAGCAGAGCTACAAATTTGGGTCTCCCCCAGTGCTCTTCGCTACCAGCCTTGGGACCACCCCAGATAAGGCTTTCCCAGTGCCTCCTCTTGGAGGGACAGCTGAGGGAGAGGATGAAGAGGGCACGAGCACACGTATACATCAGTATGTGTATAGGTTTCAAGTGGCTCTCAACCACCTAGAAAGAAGGGACCAGGTGGTGCTTGCAGTTTGTTCACTGTTTTATGTCTTGTGAGGCTTGTTTTATCGGGCAAGTCCTGTGAGGGCTTCAGGGTGTGATTGAAGGCTCCAAGCATAACGATGTCAGGATATAGACAGTTTTTGTATGTGTCGCAGTGACAGACCTGCAGAGGCACCTGAACTGGTTTTGGTGGGCTCAGTATGACTTAAACACTCTGCTGCTACCTCAGTTCCTCTGGGGATTTAGGACCAAGTATTTGCACAGCTGGAGGATGGGTAAGAAGGGGGAAGAGCTTCCTGTGTCAGTGGCCACAGGGCCATGTTCCTGCTTAAGTCCTCAGAGGTGGCTTTTCTTGGCCATGCTTCCCTCTACCAGCACCATGGAGCAAGACAAAAACCAAGAAGTGGTCTGCTGGGCTACAGTGAGGGTTCAAAACTTGTCAATGCTAGTGCTTTAAATGGCTTATCAACATGTAAATGGTGGTAAATGTGCATGCCTACCGCCCGCTCCTAAAGTAAAGCCCCTGCTTTACAGGTTCCTGTTGCAAGGGGGGTGGTACATGCAGATCACCACGGGTAGGTGGTGTTGAATGTGTAGGGTATGACCATCCAGATGGGGCTGCAGAGCACCTCCAGAGCTAGGTGGTAAACTCTGCCACAGAGGGAAGGGACCCAAAATCCAGCATTACAGGTGAATGTGCTCCAGGCTCCATAACTATCCCAGTCCCATCTAGGAGTCAACACCCCTTTCACCGGCTGTTTCCAGAGGTCCCCTCCTCCCCCGATATGTCCAGGGAGTGTCTGATGGCTCTTGGGCACCGGAAGATGGTTTAGTTCAATGGTTCATTTTGTCAGGCGGGTCCATCCAGGCAGGATGTTCTTCCAACATTTGCCCATCTTTTATTTGTGGGTGGTGAGCATTTGTCCTCATTCCCCAGGGTGGCAACAGGTTGCTGTGCTTGGGGGGGTGAAGGACATCAGCTCTTCTGCTTCTCTCTCAAATGACTGAAACCTGGGCTAGCGAGAGTCATTTTTGGTTTGAACTGGCTGATGGGAGGGTGTGACTGCAAAACCTCTTAGAAAACTCCCAACCTAACATGCTTCCCATCAAAGCAGCCTGCTTTTTAATTTCAGCCAGGTGTCTGCCCCGTGTGTGTAAGTGCCCTCCAGGCTGCTGCAGTTGGCTGCTTTGGGAGAAGTTAAAATAGCAGCTGAGCCCTTTTGGTGGAAGGTAAGCGTCAGGCAAGGCTGATTCCCATGTAACAACAGGGGCTGTACCAGAGCAGACCATCAATTGGACGTCCAGAGACAGCTCATAGGATGTAGAGAGCAGGTAACGGTGGAAACAACCGTGGAGGTGACAGCAGAAATGTCCTTGTACCTGGGGAATATACAGTCTGGTCCCACCCTGACCTTCGGGAGCAAATCAGGAAACCATCTTCTTAATTAATAAACTGTAAAAACACCCATGAGAAAAGAAAATGCCTTTATTCTGAGAGGTGGGGGCTCTTACATCTCAGCCTGTATTTTTTTTTTTTTCCTAAGGCAGACATAAAAAGACTCCATAATTTATTCTTAGGACATCTGAATAGTTATTTATTGAGAAGCCACAGTTCTCACACTTTTACAACTGTCGGCTTGTATAAGGCAAAAAAAGCAAGATGGATCACTATTTTACACAGAAAGTAATAGCTCTGGAGGGGGGGGGGGCTGATGGACATGCAGTTACTGGTCAAAATGCAATGTACATGACATATATAAAAACCATTGTTAAACAGAGGAATTGTAAATTATGGTTACAATCTACTGAAATAAATATTCAATATATTATTATAAACACGTTTGTATAGTCTAAGATTGTAATTAAAGTTGTCTTTGTACATACATGGTTATTTGAAATTTAAACAAAAATGTAACATTTAGAGGAGCAAACGTCAACATAAAACAACTGCTTTGGACTTGTAATGTGGTGTGATATATCCATAATGATAGGATTAATCTGGTGTGGCAATTAGAATGACTAATCCTTTGGGATGTAGCCTCTATGGAGTTAACTGCATATTGAAGGGAAGAGCCTGGTACATTAACAAGGATGCAGAATGATTCAAACGGCTGTCTGGGTTTGTTTGTTTTCTGGTTTTTAAATGAACAGAGAGAACAAAAAAATCATTTGTAATTGCCTTGTTCTTCTTTTTAAAACAAAGCTGGGTTTTTTATTAATTTTAAGCAGTTGGCATCCACAGAAGAGAAACAAAGAAATGAAAGGACTCGATTCACTCATCTTCACAACAATTTACCATCAATGTATATACAGTACATTAATGAAGCATTGTTTAAACTTTAATTATAACAGGGACACACCTAGCATGTTTTCTATGTAGTTTTTCCATTAACAGTATTAAACAATGGTGCTCCATATTGCTTATGAACATATAGATATGAAATTAGGAAACCGATGAATCAAAGAGAGGTGCTAATCTTATTACCACACAGCTAACATGGCATTTGTATTGGTAAACTTCTCATGGGCATTTAGAGCTGACATAAAAATTCCTAATGTGGCTAACTGAGTTACAGACGAGGTACATGCACGGATACCAGGCGACCCCCAGCCGGTCCTCCGGGCCAGCTTCCCTAGTCATCCTCTTCGTCTTCCTCATCGCTGTCCTTCATGGTGATCCCCTGGAGCCCTCCACCTTCGCTGACCGACGCCGTGGCCTCCTCTACCGTCAGCCGGTTCCGGATGGTCTCGTAGGTTTTGCTGTTTAAGGTGGAGTCCAGCACACCTTGCAATCGGAAATCCCGGTACGTTTTCTAAAGCGGGGAGAGGCACGGAGGAAGGAGGAGACAGCACAGAGGTCAGGGCCGACGCCGGCTCCCCCGCTTTGCCGCAGGAGCCAGCCCGTGCCCCCCCGCCCGGAGTTTGGGGACACCAATGGAAGAGGCTGGGGTGCCAGGGAAACCCCCGCCCCAGGGACGTTTTGCATCGCCCCGGGCAGCGCAGAGGCTGCAGGACAGGGGTGTCTCTGCCGGCCACCGCTTTGCTGTGGCAGAGGTCCCTTTAGGGCGCCTTGAGCAAGAAATCACAGGAGAGCTTTACATGTGGTAGGCTGGGGTCTAAAAAGGCATGGAAGCAACAGATAAGGGCTCTGCTCCAACTAACTTTCCTTGCTTCTGGATGCATTCATCTGCCGGTAACGTCAGTTATTTTTCTTCACGCAGCAGAACGCTTATCGCCCGTAACCGCAGACGTGATTACACGTTCCCAGAATGCTCCATATTAAATAATCCTACCTACAGTACTGGGATTAAATAAGCTAAGTCCAGGATACTGGGGAAAATTGTTGGTGTATAAACATAAGCACACGGCATGTGTTTCTTAAATCTCTTTCTTCACCTAATTCTGAAACTGGGGTTGCATTTCCACAGTTAGCTATATTTCCCTTGTTATTACAATTAATAGGTCTCATTTGAATTTATGTTTAAAAACTTCTTGACTCTGTGAGATAAAACTCTGGCCTCGTAGTTCATTTAATTCTGCTCTGTGCTCTGCGTGGAAACTGTTCTGCTATTTCAGAAAGTCCTTGGATTTGTTGTAGCTGCTTCTGAATGTAATATTGGTATAAATAAAGCACAAGGAAGAAAGCTTTCCTCAGCTAGCTGACAAGTAGAAATAATTTGTCTGTGCCTGTTGTTTTCAGTTATGAAAAGCACATTTAATACATTTCAGTTTTAATTTATTCATGCCTTCAATGTGTTCACTGCACACAAGACCATAAACATTATAAAATACTAGACCAAAAAGCATTAGATAGAACCTAAAATGATCAAAAATATATTTACCCCCTTCTGTGATCTTATTATTTCATGTAAACCACTGCGATTTCACACTGAAATAATTATCATTAGTCCAAGGCACACACACACATATACACATACACGTGCACTCCAGGAAAAAAATGTTACTTTCAGGGTATGCTATCCCACCTTTGTGATCTCTAAGAGTTGATAGTAAAAGAAACAAGTTTAATTAACTATGAGAACAATCCTCATTTGCATTCTGATGATAATCACAAGCTGGACTTAAATGTTTCTAGTAAAACAGTGTTAAACTCTTGGTTTGATTTAACCCGTTTTAACACTGGAGTTCATTGGTGTGATCAACATGTTTGTCCACAAAAAGGCTAATTTTGGTGCGCTTATTCTGCAGGTAGGGCCGAATAGCGGAGGAGTTTCCCTTTTTCCATGCAAACAGTTACTTTGTTCTTATTTGCACATCTGTATTTTGCCTCTATATGCATTTCAAGTTCCTGTTTATCCTTTGCTACGTGCCATACACACACATATCTTAACTTTTAAGAATTTTAATGAATGGCTTAATGTATTTGCCAGCGACAGTTTGCCTAAGAGAACATGCCGCACGCATGCAGGCATACACACACGCTCCTTCCGACAGCAAGATGACAGCGAAAACGCATCAGACGATTACCTTTACTATCCTAATGAGAGTTTTCAGTTGATAAATGTGAAGCTGCAGGTCCATACGGTCTGTCAGCCAGGTGCAGACAACATTCATCGAGCTGGTGTACCATTGCTGCAAGAGAGACAGGACTTCTCCAGCAACCACGTTAGGGCTGCGTGCTGTGCCCTGAATTACACAGGCGGCACCCAGTCAGCACCCACCTTTCCCACTAGCCAGCCTGGTGATGGGATGTGACAGACTTAGAGGGGGAGACAGGCACCCTCTTTTACACAGAATTTCCATGCACGAGCTTTTAAATTCTAATAATAACAACAAAAAACTTCTTCGGAGGGGCAACGGCCACCAGCAACACTGCAAGGTTCTTGTAATCTGATTTTTGCCATTGATGGGACTTGCCCAGCAGTGGTGCGCGTTTGGCCCAGTCCATTTTTAAACCCGTTCCCTCCCCGCACCCCCCGCTCAGTGAGAGCACAGTCCTGCCTTTAAGTGTGTCAGACCCACACTCAAGCTACTTACCGTCTTGAAATTCAAACATTAACCAGCTGCGGGGCGAGCCTGGTTGCCTGACGGCGAGCGGAGGGGAGGCTCGTGCAGGGCAAGGTTTGGCTGCGGGTGAGGATGGTGGCGTAAGCACCTACAGGCGCCTGCCCAGGCTGCGCGGGAAAAGCTTTGGTTTCACCCTCACAATGATGAAAGATGGAAAAGCAGCAAACAAATGAGCTTGTTTCAACCGGCTTAACTCACAGGGCCCCTCCAGGGGCTGAAATTTTGCTGCTTGTCTGTGAAAAAAGGCTTGCAGCTGTGCAGCAGCAGCCTGCCAGCCCTGCAGTGCAGGAAGTCTCCGGTGGGCTGTGGATCAGCGCCCCGCTCACGCAGGGCTGGCATTGCACGTCTGACGCCACACAGACGAGCAGCGAGCCCTCGAGAGAAGGAAAAGCAGGAGCTGGGGCGGGGGGGGAATCACAAAAACCTCCCCACGGCGCTCAGCGCAAGGGTTGATTACAGTGGTGTGCATACAGAAACCCATCACGCCTCCGTATGCGCAGTCACACCCTACTCTCGCAATCTCTCTTACACAAATGCACGGATCAAAACTTATACTGCAGACCAGCTGCAATTAACCTAGAACCAGTTAAAGATTAAAAAAACCCACTGGACCACTTTATAAAAATCCTGATTGAGCACCATCCAGGCTAGTCTGAAATGCAGCTCCCTCCCAACTACCCTAAGCCCTTGCATCGGTCTAACGCAGGTATTACTGCAGAAACTTGCCCTCTTCCCTCTAGTCGCTGAAGCTGCCAGCGCAGCAGGTGAATGGAGACAACTGAATATTCTGCAATTGCAAAACTGAGGCCGGTGACTTGTTACCCTCCACTCGTTGACACTGGCTGAGCAGCTGGCGCCTGCCTGCGAGCGGAGCGCGGACGGCGCTGCTGGACGTGCGGCTCCGACACCATAAGCTGTGACTGGGCAAGGCTCGGCTGGCAGCGTCAGGGCCTGCAGACACTGCTGTCCTGGAGCACCCACAAGCTGGCACAAGGCTCACCAAAGCAAACAAATGAGTCCAAGCTAAACCAGCCCGGCATCACAACAAATGTGGGCTCAACACACGTTATTGACCCATACGGTAATGCACCTGGGAGTTGCTACCCTCTACCAGGAGCAGACAGCAGAGGTTACTCACGTTGCATGGGGAAGGGTTTTTCCCCCCACTTCAATGAACATGTTCCTGTACTCCTACACCACCTCTTAATAAAATGGAGGAAATAAAGGGATGGAAGAATCAACAAAGAAATGGCACGTGGTGACCTCTTGCTTGATGCTTACACCTTGTGCAACTTGTGGCAGAGATTCCTGGCTGGCTCTTCATCTCCAGGATGGAGACCTGGCACGAGCTAAGAGCTCACATGAAACTAATTGAGACAGGCAAGCAGGAGCTCTCTCCGTAACAGAAATCAAGATCAGATACCGTTAGCTGTCACTTGAGGTCCTGACGTCAGATTGGGGTTGAACTGTGAGTGAAGCACTCTGCTAGCTGGTGTAGGCTTGACCAGCATAGTAGACATGAAGGTCTGGTGGGTCTTCGTACCTCCCAATCCCTCAGACTAGTCTGAGAGGTCAGGGCATATCCCTGGATATTCCCTGAAGAGGCCCGAGTGCCTGTGGGTGCTGGGACAATGACCCAGGACAGACAGCAGCCAGCTGGGGGAGGGGGGCACAAAGTGACTGCTGTCACTGGGGGATCTGCCTGGGTTCCCTTGTAATGCTGGGGGCCCACGTGGGCAAAAGAAATCGTTAATGTTTATAACGTTACTTTTCTGCAATCAGCATGCTGAAATGACTCACGCTCTCGGGTGACCTTAGCTGCGACCCAGAGCTGCGCTGGCACATGGATGCCCAGGTCACCCAAACGCCTCCTTCCACCCCCTTTAAATCAAAGCCCACAGAGGAACGAAGCGCCCGTATCTTACATACGCACGCCCTCTCCCTTCCACTGCTGCCTCTCGTCTTCCACAAAACGATCTGCTGGGTGTTTATGTCACCTCTAAACGAGACGAGAAGTCCCCGGCGGGGGCAGGTCCCACCATTTCTGCTTGTCCTGTGCCACGCGCACCCACACAGCCGTAAGGATCCAAACCAGAAATGATAACCTCTGTGCGGAGGTTATCGGCAAGGTGACTTTGCTGCTGTGAGACCTTCAGATTAAGCAAAATGAAACATTTTTCTGTGTTTCTGGTAGGCACTCCAACACACTGGATTCTGCGGAGATGCAAACTCCTCCAAGCCGAATCCGAATCGTGCCTCTCTCCTCTTGAGCACCGGCTGACAAGGGCTCAGCCAGGCGTATTGCTCGGCTGCATGAAAGGAGCTCTCTTTCTCAAAGCTAAGTTACTCCGAAGACTTTCTGCTTTATGAGAAAAAGACAAAGTCTAATTCATTGATCTTGATACACAAAACCGTCATGTCACTTCATAGAGCACACACCAACTGCTGAATTTAAGCCCTGCATATTCATAAAAATAAGTTAGCCCATAAATTAAATGTTCCCTTTAGCTATCACTAGTGTTGATGTGCTATAAGACGCACAAGCCCTCTGATTCATGACTAACCTACCAAAGACGTAACATTTGCATATGATTATATTATTAAAAAAACAACAACAAAGCCAAATGCTCCGAAACGGAAATGTGATGATTTCAGACAAAAGAGCGCAGCGTGGTCCTGTCGGGACACCGGCCGCCTCGCTCCTGCCATGTGGGTCTGCCATTCCCCGAAGGGCAGCGGGGCACATGCCAGGGACACGGGGTTCCTTGGGGGCTCCAGCCCTGCGGCTTGTCCCCATACACAAGGTGCAGCGGGCACAGCCCAAATGCTGAACTCTGGGGCCTTACCATGGGGCTGCAACACATTTCAGGCACATTTCCGGAGCCCCAGGGCCAGCTGTGGCATGGGCACACTGAAGTAACTAGTATATTTTCTCAAAACTCCTCACACCTGGTTGTAAAGAACGAGCACTGATGCTCCCAGGTCCATGGAACCCGACTCACACATCTCGCTGCTGTACGCACACTTTACTGATGCTAGCTGGCATCCCTGTCCATCACTCAGAGGACAATTTGCACTTAGTCTGGGGGCATGGGGTGAGGGATGGCTGTGGAGGGTGCATCCCGGGGGGCGCGTGATGGATGCCACACATCCACCGGCACATCAGCGGGGAAGGGACCAGGACTCCCACGGAGGTGCGTGGCAGCCCCTGCTGCCTGCTGCGCAGCGTGACCTGGCTAACAGCAGAGGAAATGCGAACAGACGCTCTTTAGATGCTATCAGAGCCCAGTAACAGCAAGTAGATACTGTATTTGCACGGCTAGGAATTTTATCCATCTTTCACGTTAGTTTTCCTGCTCCCCTTCTGTCTTTCACAGCGACTGTCATTGCTAGGTGCTAGCCCGGGTGGATGAGGTGGGCCATGGGATGCTCCTGGACAGGCACTAGAGGAGCTGAAGCATGCCAAGGGGTGGGCTTCCACGGCTGCCCATGCAACACCCCAACCAGCTCGAGCAAGAAGCGTCCTCGTTCCCCCCTCCCTTTTTTTTTTTTGAATGCAAAAGCATGATCAATAAGTTGCTGAAATAGCAAGTTTGTCTCTGAATACATAAATCGCAAAAATTGATATGAATAAATCTGCAAGTAACACACTTGAGTGTGGCACATTTTATAAAAAAAAAAAGCCCTGTGCTGGGTGCCTGCGCTTTCCGGGAGGTGGTGTCATTACACATACCCAGGAACATCTGCAAACCCCCATCTTCTTTGGTGTGAGCTGAATGGAAGCATGACCTCCTGTTCCTTGCCATGAACCTTGAGTTCACACTCATATTTTACATGTTACAGGAAGCCACAGCTCACCCCAGGGGTGCTGCAAACAGAATCTCGTAAGCCAGATGCAACACTGCTTCTTAAGGCACCTGAAGGAGCTGTATTCTTCATTCAAAAGCTTACATACTAGTAGCTTAAGGTCACTTCAGCTTTTGTAAAGAGTGGGACAAAACCAGGAATGCTTATAGGGCTGGGTTGTCAGCGGGGTAGCAGAGGGATTACAAGGAACCTGTGACTCTGCCTCTTTCTGCCTTTACTGGTAGTTTTTTTGTGTGTGAACAAGTGCCATACAACAGATTGAGGCTGGTATAAAGGCCTGGGACTGTGCAAGAGCACCCCGCTGAGCCTCAGCTGTGCTTGCAATTAGCAATAGGCATGAAATGATTATTGTTGTGGTGGCTGATGGCAATGTGAAGTGACAAGTTTTATGGGGGAAGTTGTAGTAGGGATGTTCAGCAAGTTTCTGCAAACCATTAATCGAAGGCTGCAGCACAGTTTAGTCAAAGCTATTTTATGTCATTCCAAAGGTCTCACAAGGATGCTGAAAGAATATTTTTCTGCTCTCAGTGCCTTGGAATGGAGTTTTTCTAGGTCAGGGATTCTTTACTGCCCTATTTAGTGTCAAAAATACCCATTTGCCTCAAATTAGCAGAAAGCTTGTAGTTAAGGGCTAGAGATTAGGCACACAAAATTACTCAGCAGGTGACTGCTGGGTGGATTTGGGGGTTGAG